TTTATTTTTAAAAACTTCTTTGTTAAAAAGACAAAAACATACACATTAGCCTAGGCCTGCAAAGGGTCAAGATCACCAAGATGTCCCTAGGTGATAGGAAGACTTCAGCCCATTATAATCTTATGGGACCGCTGTCATATATGTGGTTTGTCATTGACGAAACGTCATGAAGTGACGTGTAACTGTATTTGGCCATACAGCTGATGTATGTATATCACCCTCCTATAGAATTGTACCTCTGCCCTCATTCTGCTGCCTCCCAATGATTTACTAGCTCATTTCCTAAGTTTCACAAATGACACTGTGAGAATTCTGCTAAGGTTCAGCATTGAATTCATGGGAAGTTAAACTTTATTTTCATGTGCAAATAATGTAAGTATCCAAAACTGAGTTACATACCTGCATTCAAAAAAGGTAAGTTATCTTTTCCGCTCACACTTTCTGGGGCTGTACATTCACATACCAGTGCACACTAGGAAAGAATTAAAAAATATATACATTTGAAAATAATCAAAATGATAATCTTTTGTTTGCAAAACATGAGGCTATGAACATGGTTTCAAAACATTTTAAACAAAACATTTTTGTAAAACTATTTCCAACCTATCTTTACTACAAAGAGTATTTAACCTGTGATTTATTTATATTTATATATAATGGTTTGTGTTATGTAATTATAGACTACGTTTCAGTCCTAGTTAAAGGCTACTCAGGGAAGAAAGTAAAAAGAGGAAAATGATTGTTCCCAACATGCTAGAGATATGTTCTTAGTACAGTAAATCATATTTGACAAGCTGAATTGTTTTGTATTTCTTTCACCAGGGTTATTTCAGATCAATAGAAAGCAAATTATTTTCTATTTTATTCTAGAGTATAAGTAATGGTGACTTTGAATAAAACATAAAATATGTTGAAGAAACTAATTACATAGGACAAAAGAATATTTTTGTTTCTAGCAAAACAATATAAACACTTGCTCATAAAGTATGGGGAGCATTTATAAATGAGCTGATCTCTGGAGTTTGTAATTAATTGATTAAGCCCATGACCTTTACAGAACTGACACTCTCTGGACAGAAAGAGAAAAAAGACATAGAAGAGCACGTTGACATGTTCCTAGTGAATGAGCCTTGATGGCAGAAAATGCCCCAGACAATCCGTCACCAACTGTTGTTACTTTCCCTCAGCTTCCTGTAAAACTGTAACTGAGAGAGGAAACAAAACTCTTCTGGCCCCAGGAGCTTGACAAGAGAACTATTTTCACATAAGCACACTCTATCATTTGTTTCTTCAAATGAGTTTCCTTCTATCTCTAGCCAAAAACAAAACAAAAATAAACATGGACAGGAGAAGGAAGAGTGCATTTTCAGAGTAAATATATCAGATATAAACAAGTAAATGCAAACAAAACAAAGCCCAGAACATTTTTTATAATAGCATTTCAATAGATTTAGGGAGTACGAGTGCAGTTTTGTTGCATGAATATATTGTACAGTGGTGAAGCCTCGGCTTTTAGTGTACCCATCACCCGAAAGGTGTACATTACACCCATTAGGTAATTTTTCATCCCTCACCCTCCTCTCACCCTCCCACCTTTGGAGTCTCCAGTGTCTTCTATTCCAGTCTGTATGGCCACCCATACCCATAGCTTAGCTCCCACTTGTAAGTGAGAACATGCTATTTTATTTTCCATTCCTGGGTTACTTCACTTAAGATAATGGTCTCCAGTTTCACCCAAGTGGCTGCAAAAGACATTATTTCATTCTTTTTTATAGCTGAGAAAATTCTTGTGGAAAGTAGTTCTAAGGGAAGCAGCCATCCTTTTGTAGATTCTGCACGGCTCTTCTCAGGGAACTCCATGGGCTCAGACCAAGCTCCCCCAGGTTGCAGCAGAATCGCATGAACCACTTCTCAACTGCTCTAACTGGTCCCCTTTGAGAATCATGGACACTGAGGTCGCTGTTAATGATGGAATATATATGTTCCTTAAACATTTTGAAGAGGAAGACAAATCATTCAAAACATTGATTTCAATGTTACTTTCTGTATTCTTGTAGTCCACTACTTATTCCTCCATCACAACATGTATCACATTAGTAAATTTCTTGATGGGGAATAATGTGCTTTCATAGTTTCTTTACTGAGGTCCTAGTTTACTGAAAGAATGAATGACTGTAAAGAGCTCTTAAAATTTGATGTTCTCTAATTCATATTCCTGAATACCAGCAGTCAGAGGTGGTCTCTTCTTTCAATTCACAGCTAGTTTGGAAATGCACTTTCCAAATCACTAAAGTGATGTGCAATGATGCCTGGACATACTTGAAATTATGTCTCCTATTTCCAATATTTTCTCTAGGTTCAGCCTATACAGGGCTGTTAAAATAATCTTTCATAAACATTATATTCATCAGTGTTCTACTCTAGCGTGTGTAATGACTACTTATTGTCCAATCAAATCCAGTATTTTCAGACTGGTCTGTAAATCCTATCATAATTTGTCCCTGACATTATTCCACCTAATAATTAGATATATAGCTATGAGCCATCCTCCTTTCCAAAAGAATATCATCATTTACAACATAACTTACAGGAATGGTTTAGATTAAACCTTCTTAGTAAAGACGTCCACAAGTCATGGAGATCACGCCATTATTCTCAGAGGCAGCCCTTATAGAGGCAGCCCTGCCTCCTGTAATCAAAGATAACTTTATATTTCCTAACAGAAGGTCTGTATTATCTTACCAAATGCATACAGAAATATGACTTTCACACACTCATATCTTCCCTCCAAACCAGAAGGTAGATATTTATGACAATTTGAATCTAATAGAATTCTTATTCTGCAACTTTATTGTATTTTAAAACCCTAGTATTCAGAATATTTTCAAGAGTTAGAATCATGGCACATAAACAAAAATATTCAATAAATATTTATGAAAATAATTAACATTTTCCTAT